CTGTATTTAAGAAACTTGACAAACCAAGCTTCTTGCTGGTTTCTGAAGAAGGGTCTAGGTCCGAAATGTCAGCCTTCCTGCTCCTCTGATGCTGCTTGGCCTGCTGAGTTCATCCAGCTCTACACCTTGTTATCTCTCTTCTTGCTGGTGTAACAGTTTAAATGTTGACTTTTTGAGCTAACAGATGTGGCCGACCAATTGTGATTTCTAACTTCAGAAAGTTGATTTTAAAAATAATTAATAGTAGTAAAAGCACATATATGTCTAAAATTGGAATAAACCTTTAATCATAGTTTTTGATAAATTCTCAAGAGTAAATAGGAATGAGCAATAAATGCTGGCTCAGCAGCAATGCCACTTTTCCATGAATGAATTAAAAAAAATTCAAAGGGGACCAGGAGTTTATCTTTTATACGACATTTATGTAGCAGTGTGAAAGCAGTAACTCTAGTGTGAAAAAGGAAATAAATTGCAAACAATGTCTTAGACATAATATAGAAAGTTGGGAAAAAATAATGAATTTTAAACACTAGAAGGAAACTCACAACAACAACATTGTGAACTAATCTAAGACAGAGGAATTAAGATACATACAATCGCAGCATCATAGGCAAGAGCAGTACGGCCAGAATACTGTTATAGACCAGACTAAACCTCCTCAAAATGTATTAAAGAGATAACCTAGACCCTAACTTTTATCTTATTCCAAGGTAAGTGTAAGGCACTGTGTTCCAGATATGATTAGTCTACTACTAGGCTTTAAGTAAAACACACTTTATTCTTACTATACAGTTAAAATACGAACAAAAAAAGAGAAATTGGCGTGACTTTAATGTTATTGAAATACTTAATAAAATAATATATATTTAAATAAAAATCATCAACTGTTCCAATATAGCAGCAAACCACAAACACACCCTTGGCAAAGGCAAATTCAGCAAAACAGATTTTTCTAACTTACTATTTCCTCTAGTCCAGGAGAAAAGAACAATGAAAGGATGAATCCAGCAGCAGAGAGCGAACTCAAGCTTCTTACTGCAGCAGAGAGAGCTGTATCTATCAGCTTAAACTGAAAGCAAAACTAAAACCCTGGGTCTGTGTGAGTCTGTCTCCATCCACTCATGCTTCTTTCGTCTAATCAGTAAAAAAAAAGAGGAAACTCAAAGTCGTTTAGCCTTGCTTCTGAAGCAGACATGACGACACCGCTGGCAAAATGTCTCTGCAAGAGAAACAGTACAGAATAAATCACCCTTAAAGGCACAATGCTGTCACAATACTGCTAACATAGATCTGCACAGGAAGCTCCCAAGGGTGAGATATGCACTCACAGTTGTACTTTCTCCCTAATCCTCACAGCTAAGCACATTTTATAGTTGGCCCAGTCTCTTACTACTTCCTCAAATGCCACAGCCACCATAACATCTTCCTTCATCACAACTTTCTCCTTGGTTTCATCTGCTGCTAAGCTCCTGCATCTCAAACTCATCTATTGCAACAAACTCCTCTGCCTCTGACTTGACCTCCTTTTCCTTGACGTCTTTCTCAGACTCCTTTTGGTCCTTCTTAATGTTTGCCTCTGCCTTGACCTCCATCTAGATCTCAATCCTGTCCTGCATCTTGACCTTTTCTGACCTACAAACCTCTCCTCTTTCTCCTTTGTCTCAATTTCCTAATTTTTGACCACATTTGTCACCATACCTCCCTGGACCTTCTTCTCCACCAGCATGGTTTATTGTTCCTTCGCCTTGACCTTTTTCTCCACATCCTGAACTCCACTTTCTCCTCATCTGCCTAAACTTCTTCCTTGACCTCCACTTCTTTAACTCCTTCCACTACTAACATGAGCTGCTCCTCTTCTGCTTTTGCATTCATCTTAACCTCTTCCTCAAACGCAATCTCCTTCCCCTCCTCCATCAGTAGCAAGGCCTGTGGCATTTGCTGAAAAATTAAGGTTTTGTTTTACATAGGCAAGAAGGTGACAAGAGCTGAGAGCAAAGTTTTCAAAATCAACACATAGCCCAGCCTACAGGTGAGAGGCTACGGTTCCACTATTACAGGCAACAGTCTACATACAAGATTTCCAGTCCAGAAATTTATTGAGGCAGTTCCAGAGCTGAATGTGAACATAGAAGCCTGGCCAAATTTATGTATTCATGCATAAGACTTTCAATGTTTGGATTTAAATCTAACATAGTTGTCTGGTTATGTTACTTCATATAATTATTCATTTAGATTAACATAACATATGCTCGTTATACAGGTACACATTCAAATTAAACTATATACATTATTTATATACATAGTCTCCTGGTCTAATTTCTAGTGCCTGAAGGGATTGGATAAGAATTCTTCTGTAAGTTGGATACAGAGTGTGTGTTTATTGTGACACGCAAAGCATCACTGTTTGGTGTGTCAGCCAGGATGAGTCTCGTGGCCTTTTTGTATCCTCCATTGTTTATATTGTCGTGAATCACACCACACCAGGGTTATAACCCAATAGGTTTATTTGAAATCACAAGCTTTCAGAGCATTGCTTCTTTGTCAGGTGAAGTCATGGACAGTTTTAAAATATTACCTGAACTTTGCCTGTGATGAAGGTATTTGTATGTGATGTATATTTCTTACTTGGAGGGAGTGTGTCAATTTTAAACAACAACAGCAGCAAAACCTTTTGTGCTTCAAAGGGAAAGTTAATTTATTTCACAATCTAGGTCTTACTAAAGAAACTAAGACACACACACATTGGTTAGTTGCAGAAATAGATACAATACCTATAAAAATTTAGTCAAGTTCAGTCCCTGTTTTTCAATGCAAGCCTGGTATTTTGAAGTCAAAATGTTGCGTTGTTTGAAGTGTGGGCTTGGAATTTCAGGAGAGATTCAGCAGCTGTGACAGCTTCTATGGATGAATTTCCAGAGGTTTCTTTCACACGTAAACTTTGCCAGTAGAATTGTTGCTTCTCTGATTCTGCAGGAGAGGCATTAGCTTTCAATTGCCCATGTAATTACAACTGACCACAAACTGTTTCTGGATAGCTCTCTCTCTCTCTCTCCCCCTCTCCTTCTCAGAGCTGAAGCTGTTATCTTTCCCTCAAGTTGTTTCAAGATGTCCCTCTCATTATGTTTCAATTTTATGGCCACTTGGTAGGAAAGCAAAGATGCTCACAGGGTCATGTGACATAGACAAATTGCCAATCTGTTTCACATAAGTGGTAATCCTCTTTGTTACTCCAAAGTCTTTTTACCATGTGCAGTGTTCAAGGTGCCCAACCTTTTCTCACTTTAAGGCGCAATTAAGGTCCAGGCACTCGAAGAAAAACCAAAGCAATAGTATCTTAATCGTACTTGTGGAAGGCTATTTGAATTTCAAATTTTTTTTAATACATGTGCATCTGAGAATATCTTTTCTTTTGTCTCTTTAGAAGTGATTATGGTCTGAACGCACAAAAAGGTCAGGTAACCCTCAGAGTCCAATTTGAAAGCAATCTTTAAACTCAGTCCAAGTTTAAAAATTTAACTTTTAGTGCAGTTTTCTAAAAATTTGCAATACTGTTACTGTCAACATACCAATGTAATCATTTTATATATTTCGGTGGTGCACATTTCTGAAATTTGTCAATTGTTTTAATCATTATACAAAGTCCTCATAGCTGCCAATTTGACTGTATATCTGGCTTAGGTGACTAGTTTTATTTTGTGTGTCAGGGATGTGTGCGTGCATTTATGTAATTTATGTAATCATTTTACCCAATACCAACATTACTGGAGATCCATTAGCATTTTATAAAAAACTAAAACTGTGGTGAATCTAAGATGTTCCATTCAATATGACAGTTTGTGTAATATCAGTTTTTGCTGATTGAGAAGATTTTTGACCCATCTTAATTTATCCTTTAAGAGAAATTCTAAAGTTTCTTCTGTTGTCTAAGGTGATGATTCTGAAAGAGTTAATGTTAAAGACTGCAATAAGTTCTACTCATCTGGTAACATCAAACAGTCTTGGATGGGGAAGTGATATGGTGACAATAACTCTCTAATTTGATGGGGATCTTGCTGTGTCGTCAATCTTCCAATAATCTGAGTTACATTGTCTAACTCATTAATGTAACTTGTACCTAATTGCTATCATTAATAAACTAAATCTTACTCAAAGAAAGCCTCTTCTTGTTGAGATTCATTAGTGTTGCACTTCTGTCACTGAAAATCAAATAAAAATAAACCACATAGGTCCTTAGACTCAGTCAAGAGGAATGTAGCAGCATTCACTTATCCACAAGTGCTGCGTCTTCTATTGCTGCATCCAGTTGATTCATAAAATTATTTCAGTGTTTTCATATCTTTACTACTCTGGAAGTCTATTCCATTGTAGTTTACATTGTAGTAGAAGAAAGGCATTCTAATGTTAGGCTAAATTTACTTCTTATTAATTTGACACTGTGTTCTCTTGCTTAGGTTTTATAATTTAATTTGTAATGAATATTTAGTTTTACCTCTTCATTTCTTTCACAATGCTTCATGCTGCTAATAAGATCACTTGTCACACACCTCCTCCCTAAGATGAAAAGTCAAAGTTTTTCCCAATTTTGCTCATAAATCGGATGCTCAGGATCAGGTTTGTGACTCCTCTTTACATTACTTCCAGCACTTAAATGTATCTCGGCTGTTACTGCAACCAGAAGTGGATGAGCTTCTGAAAGTGTTGACTGAACACTGAGCTTTATAAAGTTTAATCGAAAATTCCTCTGACTAATACTCAATGCTTTGAATGTGGTGGTAATGATTTACCTAGGTGCTAGACTAACCCCAAGGCATTCTTATCCTTGAAAAACCATCCACTTGACTTTGAAACTAAAAGAACATTAAGAGAATTACAAATAGGTTTTTTAAAATGTATATCATTTTTCACAGGGCTGTGTTGATAGGTCACTGTGCCTGAGTCAGAAGGTTTTGAGTTCAAGTCCCTCTCCAGGATTTAAACATAAAAATCAAGGCTGATCCAGTATTGATTGTTGTAAGTGTAATCTTTTTAGTGAGAAGTTTAACAAAGGCCCTGTCTGCCAGCTCAGTTGGACATAAATATCCCAGAGCAGTATTTTTAAGAAGAACAGGGATATTATTCCAAATGATAGTTATCCCTCAAACAACATCACACATTGCAGTTTGAGAGGGTTTGCTGTGTATAAATTGTTGTGAAATAGGAAATGAGGCAGCCAATTACTGTTCTTCAAAACATACTTTACTGCCTGTAAACTATTTTGGGAGGTCTTTGGGTTATGAAAGATGCTTTATAAACACAAACCTTTCCAGTTACCATGAGCAGAATCCATTATCATTTATTTTAATAAAACCCAGTATTAAATAACCAAAAGTTCAAACAGGCACCTTCTACTGGATCCATGATATTATGTGAGCTGCCATCCATATCTTCTCAATGTGAATGTTCTTTGGGGGCTAACATGATCTGGTGTGTGGGGTTGGCTGTTTTCTGGTCTAACAAGAAGAGTCGAGTAAATGAGATGTGGGTTATTGGTTTTCCACAACTATAATAGGCTACATGTTACTGCAAAGACAGTGGGAGGACCGATACTCAGTCTGCCTTCCAAGAGATCCCACTTTCTTTCTCTTTTCAGTTGTGTCCTCATGACACTATCACAGTGGGTAGTGCATATTGTATGCGATCATGTATTATCCCATTCAGACCCATTTGCAAGAAATGACATTTGACTGACCTTATAAATGAGTGACTGTTCAAGGTGTAGTGGCCAAGCCAAAGCGGGATTGGTAGTCAACGATCTGTTTCTCCTTTACCATTGGTCCTGTTTTCTCAGTGTTCTGCCCTTCCCTTACACTTCTGTTTTCCCTGTTATTATTTCTAGTGGTTTCCAGAAGTTTGAAATAATCACAACTTAGCACTCAAATGCTGGAGTTTCATTAAGTGCATTTCTTAGGTCACACCATATGTGGCTGTCATTATTGGTCGATAGACTGTAGTGTGGTAATAGCAAGTGATGTCTATCCAAATGTATGAATATAATCATTCCTAAATCATAACAAAATATCTGTTCTTTGTGCTCAAGACATTCTCTTCTGTTCTCGTTGAACTGTACTTCGAGTGCTCCTGCTCTCCCAGGTCTCCCATTCTGCCATCTGCTGCCTTGTACTTCCTACCTCCAGTTCTGCCAAGGATCAACGGAATCTAAAGTGAGAAACAGGCAAGACCATCTTATTAGTATAGATTATTATCCATTATCTTAAAAATATTATTAATAATTTTATACATGCAACATTTTGGTACAAGTTTTAGACTTTCTTTAAACAAAAACAGCCAGCTGAAATATGTTATTACACACCTATGGAGCAGGTGGGACTTGAACCCAGGCTACTTGGCTCAGAGGTACAGACACTATCACATGCACCTCCAGACCCGTTTTTTGGCATGACAAGTTTTAGATTGGGGAGATGGGTGTGTGGGTGCAGGGTCAAGTGATTACTGCATTATCTGAAAAAGGGACCAACCAGAGAAAAGTAAAGGTTTGAGAATAATCAGAAAGGAAAGGACAGTAATGCAGATTATCAGAGAGGGTGACCCACCACAGCCCACCTCCTGACATACAGAGATAGAGAGAGAGAGAGTTCAGCAGGAGCTTGCACCTTGCAGCACAAGTGCACAACCTGCCTCTCCCCAAAGCACTGGCTACGCTGCTACAACAGCAACAAGGGGGACTCACTTGTCAATCATCACCCGGGCAACCATCTCGCGAGAGGACGGCATTTTACGTCGGCTCAAAAAAAAATTTTGCTCTAAGGTAGAAAGAAATTTCAAAGGTATTTTATATTTTTTGAATAAAATAAAATTTACAGGCGGACATATGTAGAGACTAAAAAGAAAAGTGGTTGGGTTGAAGAGAGTTCGGGACATTCGGGGTGATGAAAAGGTCAGTTAAAACGGTTGGATTCGCGCCATCGAGCGGGACAATGGTCTGAGGGAGAGAGATTCTGTAGGGATCAGATCTGGGAATGTCTCCTCTTTGTTGAGAGGGTGTGGTATGATTTGATGGAAAGTAGAGTTTATAATTTATACCCACACGCTAGGTTTTGTACCTGGGTCAGCTGCAGTAAAAGTTTACCTGAGAGAGCAGAAACCAGAACATTCATGGGTGATTCAGAAACCGTTTGATTAAATTGGGCTGCAAGGTCAGGAAGTGGGAATTTTGGTTTAATCTGAAGGATTGTGCACTTTAGTGTTTGTTAAGTCAATGTTGAATGTTTAGCTGCATTTTTGCACTGATTTTAGTTAATAAATAACAACTTTTAGTTTTAGAACTTGTGTTTTAATTATTCACTTGAATGGAATTTAGTTTGTGTTGAATATTCAACACTTGTCCAGAGCTTCAATGTTGCAGAAGAATAGGAGCCTAGATGTTCCATGCTCCTATTATTATTTTGCTGTATTGAAGTTTGTTAAGTACATATTGGGAGCGCAGCTAAAACTCATGGATTCAGAAATAAATCGTGGTAGTTCGATTAGTTTTCGGTTGCACCATGCAAGAACTGTGCAGACAATTGATGAGGTGCACTGTGCTGTAAAGCTGAATAGTTCTGTTATTTTCAGAAATTAAAACACCTTTAAATCTTTTGCTGTGAAGTTTCGCCAACACTTTTTTTTGATTTTTAAAAAGAACCATGTGTGCAAAAAAACCATTAGGCATTTTGCCAGAGATTGCAAGTCTTTTTTTTGTAATGCCTTCTGTTATGTTTTAACAGTGCATGGGTTCATCAAATTAGTGCTGATTGAATTCAATTTGGAGATTTGTGATTTTTGCTGACAAATACGTTTCTGGAAGAGATTTGATTCCTCTATCATGATCCTTGCCAACTTGCAGAATTTCTTTTAGAATCTCATGAACTAGAGTCCAAATATTACTGGCAAATTTGCTATGGCCTTAAATTTGGCTTTGAAGTAAATTTCATTTAGACTGATAATTTGATATTTCCTGATTGATGAAATTGAGTTGGAAGCCAAATTGCTTTTTCTCATTGTTCCTGTTCTCTGTGAATTAAACATTGTACATTTAAATGCACTTTCCATCACCGTGAGAGTTGCCAATTTTTTTTTTTAATAAACTGTCCTACTGTCTCTAGCAATCTGTTGCTTGGTGTTTCTTTGAGTGATAACATGCATTTCTCAATTTTTTATTGTTCTATTGTGAAATTAATTAAAACTAAAGGCAGTCCTTTCAATGTATTAAGAACGCACACTTGCAATGTTTGTGGGGTTTTTTTCCCCCTCCTGTTTATTTCATTGCAATTTCAGATCCCAAGAGGTTGGAGGTGAAATCATTGCTTAGTGCTGAAATAATCTATTTCTTAGGTGTCGAATAAATCTGCTCCCAAGGGGTGTAATAACATCTCTGAACAGGTTGATTAGTAAAATAGGTTAAATACTCATTGGACATGTCTTCAGTCAGGATCAAAAAGGCAGTACCTGAAATAGTTAATCTGTCCTTTTTTGTCTGACTGTGCTACTGTTTATTTTTCATATCTTCTGGTTGTGTTATTTCCAGTTGACTCACCTTGTATATGCAATTACAGCAATCTCTGTAGTAGTGACTCTGCACTTAGGGAAGAGAATGCATACAGTCCTCATTTTTAGTGCAATATTTAATAGTTATCCACCATCTTGAATTACTTGATGAAATTAGCACAGCAATGAGAACTTAAGGGGTAAGCCATGAGGAAGTTAGATATAAGAATTTCAGATTAGAAGCTTTGGGTAATGGGAGTTAGGATATGCTAGCAGTTACAAGGAAGATGGCAGATTAGGATTTGGTACAGGTTGGGTATGAGCAGCAGGGATTTGGATATCCTGAGGGAATGAAAAGGAAACTACTTGAGAATTTGAGATACTTGGTGACTTGTAGACAGGTTGGAGTCAGCGTGGAACACTATGAAGCAGTATCCAAGTTGAGAAAATTGTGAACTGGGAGTTTCTCAAACTTTTGTTAGACACATCAAAAGGCAGAGAGGAATGGATGGTCGAGTAAGCCAACAAAGGAGTGAGGCACAGTGGGTGTGAAACCTAAAGAACGAAAGCAATACAGTCCATACAGCCAGAGAAAAGTGAAAGTCAAATGTGGGAGATGAGGAGGACAGATTGGCTCCCAATGTGACCCAGTGCAGAAGAGTGTAGTGGAGGAGTTCAGATTAGTGGTGTCAGTGGCCAGTTGAAAGCAGCAAGAGAGCTTAATCCAGAGGATGATGAGCATCCACAGGAACTGACCAGAGCTAACACAAAAATCCCAATGGAGGAGCAGAATACAGTTGCCAGAGTAAAAGCATTCCAGAAGATTTAATAAGAGATGATTAAAAGTAATTCATCAAATCCAAAGCATTTCTAAAACTATAAGGTAAACTTGATCTGAAGTCACCTAATTCTCACTTCTAGTTGGTGCTCTGCATTATTTGTGTGACCATCCTTTTGAAATCAATTTCATCCCATAATCAGAGGGTCATCCCATATTCACTGCTGTTACTATCTTTTTCTCTTATCGCCATTTCTCACTTCCAGGAGAACACAAAGAACTAGATTCTAACAGAAACAAAGTAATTTTGTGGAAGTTTGCACCCTATCCTGTCTTCATTGAATTAATTGAAGAGTAAAGTTGTGCTTGGTGTGAAACCAGAATTGCAGCTGATCCCATCAGTTTCTCAATGGATTAGGTTTAAAGTGCTTCAAAAGGCTCTCCAATACTAAACAGTTTTATAGAAAGTTGAAACTGGCTGCATTTGGACTGTTCTGTTGCTTTCAAACAGTTTAACAGCTCATTAACAAATGCCAGTCATTTCCTGACTTTCACCTGTCCTACATTGTACTTTCTTGTGAAGAAAGAGCCAAAATATCTGGAAAAAAACAGTTTGGAAAAGGAGACTTCAGCAAAACAAACTTTGCAAGTGAAGTGCTTTTGTTTGAACAGCATTTTTGTGAATCTATTCAGTGGATAGTGTCAAGAAAGTCTCAATGAAAAGTTCCTTTTTTCTGTTCTTTCTTTCCCTCTGACCCCACTTGGAGTATTGATCTTTCCCAACAGAAAGTAAAACAAACAAATTCCTAATTTGAGGTGGAGTTTCTGACATTTCATTGTACTTGGCATTACTTTTTGTGTTGAATCTTCACGAAAAGACTTCAGAAGGACCTTACACTCATTGGAGTCTATGGTAGAAGCTTTTATTCATATAACTCTCTAGTTTTAAATAGCAGTGGTGATTTATAGGGTTACTATTTGGAGGGAATTGATTTTAAAAATTGAGAAAAGTGGTTTCTGAGATAGTGTAGAAAGCTACCTTGATCTTCAAAAAAACATCAGCTTTCAAAACAAAGTTGTTTCATGTAAAAATTTGCTACACATCTAGATGTTGCGAGATGCAAGTTTGTGTTCACTATCCTGCAGTACTGACAGTTTTGGGAGAGTAGGATGGTGTTTGGCTGATATCTTTTCAGCTGTAAGAGAAATGTTGCCCCAGGAACTAGTTGATGTAGAGACCTTAAATCTAAGGGAACAGCAGATAAACATCTGAAGTGGCAGGAGTTATAGTAATACAGGACAGAAACAGAGCCTTCGGTCTGATTTGTCCATGCCAATCAAGTTTCCCAAACTAAATTATTCCCATTTGACTTCATTTGGCCCATATCCCTTTTAAATATTTCCTATTCGTGTACCTGTTCAAATGTCTTAAGTATCTTAGCTGCATCTAACCCTTCCTCTGGCAGTTCATTCCACATACGAACCACCATCTGTGTGAAACCATCCCCCCCTCTCCTGGCCAAACCCTGAGTCTCTTAAGTCTTTCACCTCGCACTTTAAAAATGTGCCCCCTAGTGTTGAACTCCCCTACCCTTGGGAAAAAGCCTTTTGTAATTCAGCTTGTCTAAGCCTTATGACTTTATCAACTCCTGTAAAGTCACCCCTCAGCCTCCTATGCTGCAGTGAAAAATAGTCCCAGCCTCTCCTACAGAGAGCAGGCATTGTGGCTAGTTCTAAATTGCTCTAGCTTGGATGTGATGAGTTGCATGGTCTCTTGCATTGTAAATTTTGGTTCTGTTGCATTTTTGTTTTAAATCGTTGTCACATATTAATATGAGCAAGTTAAATCATTTCTAGGCTAGAGCAATTCAGGTGCAGTCTCAACTGCACTAGCAACTATCATTATAATGCTGTAGCAGGGACACGCACTCAGCCTATGGACTGGCCTGGCCTCGATCTGTGGGGTCTTCACTTCCTGTCATAGTGCTCACTCACTGTTTGCCTGTCTGGGAGCTCACAGTACCCCAGCTTTGCATTGCCTTGCCTCTTTTTTTTGCACACTACCCTCTCAACCAGAGAGACTAGGCTAATATTACTAACATCTTGTTGTCTCCTTTAACACAGACTCAAAGCCAGGAGGTTTGGCCCAGTTGTCAACAGCACCTGGTTAAGGGGAATAGCTTTTGCTCAGAGTATCCTGGCACAAAGGCAGCCTCCAGTACTAGTCCAGACCCTGCTTGGGCAGCCAGAGTCTGGCTTCTCTTTTCATAAAGGGTGAAGAGCCAAATGAGGTAGCACATGACCCATCTTAACTTTTTCTGCCCTATTGTGGGCCATTTTCATTGTTGAATGAGGGAGAGGCTGGTATTATGGAAATGAAAGTGGGTTGTACAGCTTTTGTTATTGGTACAGGTGGGAATGTTTCCCAAGGGACTGATTTAGGCAGTGCAGAGGCATGCAGCGCCAATAGGGACTCAAGTTGGGGTGGGTGAGGGTAAGTAGGAACAATACGGCATCCAACAGTGATTATGATAGGGCACAAGACTTAAGGTGAGTACAGTAGCAGAAAGATACTGAGTGTGAGGTTTCAAGGAGAAGATGGTGGCATTTACACTGGCAGAGTGGAGAAGGACTTTGCCAAGCCCTGTGGGATGGTCATTCCTCCACATAGCTGATGTGACTGGTGTTATGAAGCAGAGGTTGACCTCCCTCAAATAACTAAAACAGAAACACCCAAAGAAGCTCCCATCACCTCCATAATCTGTTTAAAGGAAGTGTGAAAAGTGGTATAACCTGCTTCTCACCCCCAAACTCTGTTATAAATGAGTGGTTAAATGAAATGAAATCATTTCACTCACTATAATCAACAAGTAACAATTTAGTTATCTAACTCTAACAGTGAGCAAATTTAACAGAACTACTAACAAACCAAATAATGCCCCCACAACTACTAACTATTCCCAAATAAGACAAAATTCTAATGGCATGCTGTTCCAATAAACACAGGTCCCACTTCTTACAAAACCAAATTAAATAAAAAAAACCTTAAAACTTAACCTGTCAAAATTGCAACCAGGATACATCTTCCAGAATGTTTAGTGCCTTCTCCAGTGTTCTTCAGTCAGGAACACCTTTCTCCATCAAATTCTTGTCAGGAACATTAGCTAAGAGTGCCACTGTACCTTTAGTCAGATGATGGTTTTGAGAGAGCCAGTGATTTTTCTCTTTAGAGCTACTGGTTGTCTACTCTACCAGATGGTAGTTGCTGTCACACTGATTTTCAAATGCCCTTTTCTTTTATATCCTTGACCTATCAATTGCTTACAAAGGGATTGGTCCTAGGTTATCAAAACCATCAGATTTAATTGTTTTTAGTTTCTAAGTGCCTGGTTTAAATTAATTGGCTGATTTCTCAAACTGGTTGCCTTAACAAAGCAAACTATTGCCTGGGTTGTTAACCACACATTCTTTTGATACAGTGTTTCAATTTCAGGAGCTCTCTGTGCACCTGCACTTTTAAGCCTAGAAAAAACACATCATCTTCTAAAGGGACCACACACTCTTTCTCCCCCTTCCGCCCCCAGCATTTTACAAATATCAAATACTCTACCCAACTTCGCAACACTGGGAGCAACTTCAGAGCAGGCTGGCGTGGCCTCCCCTGCTGGTCCTGCGGGAAAAGAGTTCTATTTATGCACCACCTCAACCAGCCGGAGTGCCATGATCATGCTTAAAAACTAGGGCTGCGATTTCCTCCCATTTGCCATGTCTGGGGCTAATACCAGTAATGATGCAGGACAGCTCCAGACTGCCAGTGCTTGTCCAATTGCACAATGGCTTTTAAATAAGGTGCTGGCAGCAGGGGTGCTGGTAAATTCCAGGATATCCTGAGGGGTGAGTTGCTGCAGGAATAGTGCGTGGTAAAATTTGGTAGAAATAAGACACGGTCCTCACTGAAGACTCAAAAGCCAACTAATGTGGAGAATTTGGTAAGATACTGCAAGGAAAGCTTGCTTGGTCTCGCAGCAAGAATCACTTCACCAATTCGCATGACTCACTTTTCCAAAACACCATAAGACTCACTGCGCAGTGTCAAATATCTTGTTGCATGAACAAATGTTGCTAAACATCTTTTTTATATAGGTGTCGTACTGTCTCTACACGCAAGCTCCTTTCATTTAGTTCTAAATGGGAAATTGAGTTAAAAATATTTAGGAGAAATAATTGTAGGAGTCATCTGAAATTTATGCAGATTTCCCATTCAAGTAAAGTATTTTGCTAGTAGTAATTAGAATGAATTATAGTTGACAAACCCATCCATATGTTTATTTCAAAGCCTTGTGATTTTTTGAGCTGTAGCTTAATGTGGAACCTGCTATGTTTCAACTATAAATATAATTAGAACTACAATGATTAATAGGTTTATTTTGTTTATAGGTGTTGTGGATATCAAAGAGACAAAAAGGACACATTAGGACATCAGAAAGAAAACAGAAAGAGAATTTCACAGCAAAAGTTGATACTTGTTTCTCTAACATGGCACTGTAAATGTGCCAATTGTGAGGAACTGCTGTGATTATTTGAAGTCATGAATTCTCAAGAGCCCCATCAAACAAGGAGCCAGGATACCCATCCCATAACAGGGGACGATTCTTTTGGAAGTAATGAGATTGCTTTTCTGGTGGGAGAAGATGGACAGCTGCATTCCCTTCAAGATGAGACCCATAAAGATTGGAATCCTGAGAACAGACTCGTACAGAAAAATGGGATCCAAAGTAATAGAAATGGTTTGTAAAACAGAACACTGACATGTAAATTTGTCTAAATACCAGTTTGATATTCTTTGTAATCCACTATGGTGTGGTGGCAAAAGCTTGTCCATGGCGTAGGCTGGGAAACACCAAGAAGATACAGTGTGTAATTGTGAACTGTTCACTTAATTTTAACTGGTGAAGATAACCTCTAGTGATGTATATATTATTGTTTAGTGATTAGGTGATTTGGCAGTGAAATAGTAATCGTTTACTTACTGCTTACTTATTCCATTTATGCAGTGAAATTTAGACCTAGTGGTACTTGTCCATACTATGCAATTACTTTTTAAATAGCTATTATTTTACTTTACAAGTAGTTGTTTTCCTGTATTCCTTCAAATGTACAGGAATCTATCATGATTTTACATTAAGGTCTGACAATATAGGAGGACATTTCCAAATGTTTGCTGCTTCAAAATAGCAGCTGTTTTATGAACAAGTAAAATACCAAGAGCAGGGAAAGTGACTGCCACTTATAGGTTGAAATTCCTTGGCCACTATTTAGTGGACTAGTCAGATCATTTACATCAAATTTCCAAATAGCTATTTTAAATGTTGTTAACAACTTATTTTGAACCAGGCTTGGCTGAGGCTTCCTATCTGACACATGAAGCCATCGTTCAAAATATAGGTAAGAATAATTGGAAGAGTTTTGCAAGAGCTACACTTCCAGTCAGACACTTTTTCTTTCTTTTATATGAATGCTGGAGAGAAATAATCACAGATTGGAGAAGTACTGCAATGTGAGTGATTGAATTCAGTCTGAGGCCAGGAGCCATGGCAATGAGTCTGTGGGATGGGGACTGGGAGGTTTGCAGGAAAACATTGGCTGGGTAGAGGAGTGAATGGTGGACACATGACGACCAGGCTGCCAAGGGCGAATGTGAGTCAGGAAGGCCAGCAGTCTATGGGAATGGTGGTGGAGTGAATTAGTGATAGATCGTGGCAGTGGGGCAGGAGAGAATGAGGGCCAGTGTTTGGGGAGGTGGGTGGGTGGGCGTGTGAGTGGGACGGAGTCAGAAACACACCCATCCTCCTCCTCGTACCCCTGGAAACACCCTAGACAATACAGGCTGAAAGACAACTCACTTCCGATTTCCCACTTTTGTCTGAACTCTGCAAAGACCAGCTCAGAATGTGACCTGCCAGAGGTGAACCAAGGTTACCCTTAGCCCAACTCCTAGGCTTGATCCTGGTCCTCATGGCCAGGGTGATGGGTCCTTGGGCCTAATTAGTTTCTCTCTCTATCTCTGTTGCTTAAGCAAAAAGACAAAAGAAGTTCCTAACAGTCATTTCTGCTGCTTGGAATGTTTTAATGGTCATTTTACTCATTAAATGATCAGTTTCTTGTTTTGGAATTCTTTTTCTGTTGAATTCATGGTTACTGATGTGGTAAGTCTTATCTTTTTGAAATCTGCTCACCGCCCCCTGAATGAGAAAGAAATTGAAATGTGTGCAGTGTTTGGGGAACTCTCTTTTACACATACATAGAAGTTGATTCAAATCTATTAAGATGTGCTTACAAATAATATACTGTTCAATCTCCGTCAGCTCCCCAGTCTCACGCTAGAGGGCTAACACTTGCTTTTACCTATTCAAATACTTTGTAACTTCTTATGTTTTCATATTACTAACTAGCTTTCTGTCAAACTCTTGATTATTTTTGAGTTATCAATATGATCATAGCCTTTACTGCCTCTGCTGGCTTTTGGGGATGATTCTGCTGTTCCCAGTCGCACATTCCCATAGACCCATTATTTGCTTCTTGTCCAACTACCATCTTCTTTTGCTTTGCAATGTCATCTCTTTTTATATAATAATTGCTCTAGTCTTCCATGAGATCACACGATTTCCCCTTTTATGTTCATCCTCCCCACTTTTTGGCTTGCTTAAAAAAACGTTTTTAAAATGTTTTCTATTTTTGACAGAAAATCTGAAATATTAACTGTTTCTCTCACCACAGATACAGCTCCACATACTGCATATTTATAATTTTTGTGTTTTTTTTTCCCAATTTCCAACAGCCGTTGTATTTGCTTTAGAGGCAGTGCATCTACAAACTCCAATTTTGATTGTCATAGGTGAACATGGATGGAATAGAAACTTTGCATGTATGTTAGTAAAACAACAACGTTTGCTCACATTTCTTGCCAGGTGATGAATTCCTACATTGAACACAGTTTTTAACACACGACCTACCAGTATAATTGCATAACCTGATCAAAGTGCTTACGATATCTACACCCCCCACCCAAAACAGTGAAAAGAATATGATCTAATGTCATAGGACATTTATTGAATTATATTGTTATGTTTATGCTAAAGATGTATTCAAAGGTTTCAGCTTTTTCTAAATTCTGATGCTTGGAGTCTATGTTTCAGCCAATACCATGACTTTGAAATAAAAACAATGCTGGAGAAATTCAGCATGTCTGGCAGCATGTTTGGAGAGAGGAAAGAGTATTGAAGTTTCAAATGTAATATGACTTCTTCAGAACACATGACTTTGAGCTCAGTTTAAATTTAAACTTAAGTTCATAATATATTCTGAGGGATGCATCAGTACCAAGAAAAGTTTAGATCTGAATATTGATGCAGGAATTTATAATAGAAATATGTGAGTTTAAAAATGGACACTGGATGATACTTGCATATATTTGCTGCTCCATTAATCTTCTGGTCTCTGACTCAATTTCTTCTGAAAACTGTGCTGAATTTTCATTGAATCCCACAGAAAACCAAATGTGAAAGTACACAGGGCTTTTAGCAGGGGTGCATCCATCATTTACAGCAGATATACATTGCCAGGTCGAGAAATATATTGAAATAATGGAGTGAATCTTGCAACTAGCAGATGCTATTGCATCTGAAAATGGGTGAAGCTGGTTTGAATTCACAGCCACTATCCTCAGGATAGCACTTCAGATTGTCAAGGAGGGTGTGCTATAGGCGATGACTGTGTGAAAGATGCAGTCGTTGTACAAATGAATAACGTTATCTCATGCTGGGTATATACATGCCACAATAAAGCTGCCTGGTCTTTCCTCTTATCAAGTGGTTGAGTGTTTCATATAATCTGCTGTACTTTAACTTGAGGTCTCTCGCAGAGAATTTGTAAACATTTATCTAGAGAACTTTTTTTAGTTTAAAAACATACATGATATGTATATGATAGGATGAAAAATCTAGACCAAAGCAAAGAGAGGCTACTCCTCATAAGAAGATGGAACAATTGGGAAGAGTTCTTGGGCATAAAACATGGCACTGATGCATTAAGCATAAAGTGATGGTTAATTACTTCAACTGAAGATAAGAACTTCTTGTTGAAAATACAAGTCTGGACTGCACAGTCCAATCTGTATTCTCCTTCATGAGAAACAAAGTGAAATTGTTTGTTTTACAGAATGTCACATCCTTACAACAACTAACTCATGTCAGCAGCATTATCAGAATAATGATTTGCAGCAGAACTCAGGTAAATATTGGTCTAAATTGTTCAGTGGAATGAAACAACTTGCATTTTAAAGCACATGTCACAATCTTTGAATGTCCAGAATGCTTCACAAATAATGAAAGGTGGTCACTGTTATTTATGTATGTAGCTTTTTCTAATAACTGGAATATTTAAAATCTCACTGAAATCTGTGGCTCAGTGTTGTTTGTCAATGATGCTCATATTTGAAGTAAACCTTGTTGTTGGGTCAAGCAATCTGTCTGGTCAGAATTTTGTCTTGAGCACCCTGCAGTAGTACGACAACTGATTGTAGTGTTCTGTACAAGGGATTCCCAGCATGAAGCTGTAATGGTGCCATCAACCTGTCAAAGAAACTAATTGTGTTCAAGAATTTGCACAAACAGGAAACAAAAAACAGAAAATGAAATCTTTTTTTAAAAGGAGATCAAAATTAAAGATCGGATCATATGCATTGGGTGTAGGTAGAAACTTAAAACGTCCCAAAAACATGTTTACAAACAAACTAGCTTAAAATCTATTAATTTAATCACTTAATCTCACTCCAAAATAAAAACTTTTCAGGGTGAGCTTGGTTGTTCAAATTTTTTCAACTCATCCACCAGTTAAAGACCTAGTTACACCTGATGTAAGAATTTCTAACAGTGCTGTGGGAATGGGAAAATAGAAGGTCTTCCTAACTTCAACAATTACATGTTCTGTGGGGACAGGTGTTCACGGTGCAGGATATGTCAAAACTGAGTGACAAACTGCAATTTCAGGATTTCTGTCCTAATTTTCATGAATCTTGTTGTGTGAAGTTGTAGACTGTTCTCCCTAAACATATCCTCCAAAATCTGGGCCCGAAGTCTTTAACTTAAATAGAAAAAATATGTTTTGCAAAAATTGGCCATGTACAATTTTAAATCATGTTTACCATTGTGTCATAAATTTCTTTGAGTTTTTTTTCCCAGGCTGACCAATCCAATGTTAATATTCCTGACTCTTTGGTGCTTGATTTTTAACAAATGTCAGGTGATAATTTCAGATGTCCCTTGGTTAACTTGGTTAACTGGGCTGGGAGATTGTGCTTCTGTTTAGTTTTGTTACTATCTGAAGGACTTTACAATAAAATATCCTCTGCTACCAATAAATGAGGATTCATACTGTTTCCAAAGACAGAGGTCCTGAATGTGAATCTTCCTACTCTGAAGATAGTAGGAAGCTATCAAGTTATATCAGAATGAAAATACTAGAAAAATTACACCTGTGCTTCCTGGGACTATTGCCATGGAATCAGATGGAGCCTTTTTAAAAAAAAAAGGGCTTTCCTAGCATGCAGGCAATGCTGGCTAATCCATCTGTTTTTTTTTGTTTAATTATTAAATTCAGGTTTCGCTACCTGCTGTGATGGGATTTGAAATCAAGTCCCCAAAGCATTAGCCTGAGCCTCCGGATTGCTAATCCAGTGACATTACTGCTGCGCTGTCACCTCTATCTACCTCTTAGCCTTAGAGTTAAGGGATAATATTTTCATTATTGTTTTATATGATAAACTCTAAATATAAAAGGAATAATCCAGAAGAAGTGGATCCAGTTATCCAATAACTCACTAAGTTTCCTTAGACAGCACCTTACAAATCCATGACCTCTGCCACTTAGAATGATGCTAGCAGCAGATGCATGGAAAAACCACCACCTTCAAATTCCTCTCTAAGCCATAAGCTAAGTAGATTTCGAAATATATCACCATTGCTTCACTATCACGGAGTCAAAATTCTGTAGCTCCCTTTCTAACAGCACCAGAGTATGCTGTACACCACATGGACTGCTGCTTCCCAAGATATTAACGAACTGGAGTTGAATGTAACTTCTCTGGATTTGAGAGCCAACGATTCCACTCCTGATCACTAGCCAATGATCTGAGATGGAAGGCAGATGTATGAATGTTGAGGAGTGATACATGGTTATTATGACCATGATGTTTTACATTGTTAATAAGTGTTGGGTCCCTCAGTCTAAGCTCAAGCAAAACCAATGGCCACTGGATAAGATGCAGATGTTAGCCAACATCGGTGGAACGTTAGCACAGAAAAATGTAATCCAATCAGAAGAGAAGTGGATTTATTTCATCAGGCTCAGTTCGGTGTTCTGTGGTATACAGGTTTACAACTAATTTGGTATCAAGCTTTGTATAAGTTCCATGTCAAGTTGAATGAAGAGTTAATAAAGGGGATCTACCCATTTAGCAATGATGCCCTGATATAATTTCACATCATATCTGAGCACATGTGGTGATAATGATGAACACTGGGCATTCCTATTTTATCAGCCGTGATATTATACAATAGCAGGACAGGCTTGAGGGCTGAATGGCCTCTTGCTCCTGTTTATTATGTTCTTATATGACCAAAGCTGTAAATCAGGAGCCTATGGAAGTGTGTAGACCTCTGTGGAAATTGCTTGCGAAGTTTAAACTTCTGATGGACAATTTTCCTGCTCCCTGGGACCCTCTGTGAATGTCTCAAAGACTTTAAAGACAGAGATCTGGAGGGGGGGAGGGGAGAAAAAGTCTGTATCATTAACCAGAAAATATTAGGTGGTTTAAAATGGGAAATGACCAGTGGGTTTGCAAGCAAAAGCCTCGGTTTTAAGATCTGCAGCAATAATGGCTGCCGTGATTAGAAAGTAGAACAACCTTGCCATTTCAGCCTCGCCTGAGAGGTGTTGACAATTTTCAAGCCTTGAAGTGGGGTTATAGTGGAAAGAAGTGTGGAAGCGCTGGTGTAAAACCTGGTCTAACACCTACGTAGCTCCACAACCGACTCAACTCCGCCTACTCCCACACCCCACCTAAAAGATTGGCACTCATCATATGGCAGTCAATAAATGGGGGTGTGTTCTCTCTTTCCCAACTCCACTCTGCCTCAGTGGTGTTCTGCAGGGCTGCTGCACATTTCTTTGACAGGTGACATAGGAAGATCCTGGAAGAAATGCTCAACAGTATTGGGTGCTGTACGCAAACATGCTTCTATGTGCACAGCATTGCAGCTGCTTGAAAGATTCAGATCCCTGAGTCTGCAGAATCCAGTCTGATTATTAACTGATAGCAGAATCCCAAGAATCAAAATCTGATGATCATAAGAGTAGTATGATTGGTTTCGGCACGCTGGATTATTTCTAGTCATTCTCACCTGTGGTGATGAAAAATGCCCAGTAAATATCTGACTCCACCCGCTGTGAAAAATGGGAGGAGAAGGACAGCTAAGGCTAAGTGCTGAAAATATGCACTTGCTCTGTACAATATGGAGAAAATGTACTTTGGAGAACTGCAAATAAAAGGCTGAGGAGTGCAACTAATTGAATAATGTTTTTCAATGAAAATATTTCTAAATTTAAGAACCCAGTAAATTTACTGACTTGTTTGAACAGGTGCAAGTTAATTTCCATATTTGAAATTGGTTTTGATTTTTGACATCAAAAATGCTCGATACATACTCTAAGATACCACAGTATCATTATCTTATTACTAAAGTACGATCTGTGCCATATTTCAGTCCAATATGAAACATAATGTTTTAGTAAATAATTCTACATAGTTGGATCAATCCATAGCAGATAATTCTTTTAAAATAGTGTGCCTGTGTCAAGTATGTTATTTTAAAGAATTGGGAGGTTTTCTAAATTGAAGATGATTTTACACTTCATTAAAGGGAAAGAGTTGGCTGGAACTAATGTAAGTTTAATGTAGTCTTTCTTAGTATGATTTATTCCAGTAATTACAGTAGAAATTAAAATGCACCTTTCAAAGGGAAAAGGAACTTGCAGGCCAAGATGATGCCAATAATTGTGGAATGATGTTGCTGTAGCATTCATCTCTGAAATATTTGCAAACTACTGTCTTCAGCACTTCACATTGAATGAAAAGTTATTTAGATTTGGCACAAAACATGTTATTCTGGAGTGCAATTTTTTTTTCTAAAAAAAATTTAGCAACTTAGTGTTGTTGAGTTTTCCAATTGTAGCTTGCAGGTCAAAAAAAACCCATCAAGTTTGGCTGCTTTCTCCTATCTGATCCTGGTATACTAAGGTTTTGGTCTGATAAAAATGTAGCATCAAAAATCCTACTCCTGATTATGGATCATTGTTTCTTCTCATTGCCAATTTTGTTCTCAATGGAAGATAACCACTGCCAAGTTAAAAGTTCAAAAATCACCTTTCCTTCATGACTAGTCTGCCAAGTCTTTGAAGAACCCCAGTTAGGAGATGCAGAGATTCAAAAGGTGCTGATTGCTCTGGGTATGGGATGCATTTGCATCAGAAATTATGACTGTTTAACTTGGAATACACCTGTAAATCAGTCTCCATTAAATTCTCTGCAAACAGAAAACTGTCAGAACTCGGGATGTATGGCAGTTGACCAAAAGACACCAGTGAAAGAATCTGGACCAGTTCTGTGGTCAGGTACAGTGAGAAGCTGATAAACCATTGAATTAATACCGCCAAACGTTTCCTCGTGCAGCCTTTGGAACAGATCTGTACCTGCATTTCTAATTTCGAGTGTACCTTTAGGTCAGGTCCTAATTCTGTTTGGTATTGAAGGTTTAGTGTCAGTTTGATGTTCTTGCAGTACAAAAGCTTTGTGTTTTGTATTAAATAAACTTGCATTGTAAGTGCCCTTTGGTTACAATTATGATATTTATAATATTCTTGGGATCGTGTCTCTAAATTTAGGATAAATTAAGGAGTGGGTCAAGTGACCTGTTCTGAAGTCTGGGTGGTCTGATTGTTAGAGATTAAAGGAGGTCCTGATTGTTTAAAGGGAGAAAGGTGTACTGTTTTAAGGATAACGATAGCTTGTGTGCTAGCAGTTGTTAGACTAAGACCCTCCAAAGTCCCAGAAGGGTATTGAAAATATCAGGTTGGTAACCGTTATACTTTAAACTGTTCAAAATGAAAGAGATTTGGTGGTCTCAAAGATAATTAATCAGCTTTTGTACCTGGATACAAGGCCAATGTGATTCATCTTGCCATAGAAATGGGTTTTGAGAGAGAGAGAGAGGATTTCTAAGATATTCTGTGAAAACTCTCGGATTCAGGTAGTCTGCTAGAGTCTGAACGTGTGTGTGGCAGAAGGGTGAATGTGTTTATGGTTCTATACACCAAAATGTGGGTCAAAGTGCATTCAGAAATTGAAAAGACCAAATTCATGAAGACTTAAGATGGGGATAGAAGATTCATCTAGCTTTTGCTAGAGGGAGGACCTTCAGTAATACCATGAAAGATTGTTTTGGGATTACAAGTTACCAGGCTGAGAAAGAAAAGGAACAGAATTAAACTTTGAGGACCTAGAAATTATTATGGATTGATTCTGGAAGAATTGAATGTCATCTTAAAGGACAGTGTGATGTTTACCCATGAAGTGGTTAATTCCGTTTGCTCAAAAAAGAATAATAATACTCCATTCTGTCATTTAAAATACTTGTTCTAATGCCATTCCTCAAAATAAGAACAACAAAATGGTCCTCATGAAGTGCCTTGATCATTACTTATCAAACTGGAAGGATCCGTTGTAGTGGCAGGATGAATGCCCTCCCTTCTACATGGAGAATGCTGAATGTGATTTATGTATTGTGGAAACTCTGTGTCCAAAGGGGAGGGCTGGGAGACATCCTGGAGCTTATGATAGTAATGACATTAAGCTATCATCCTTGTCACAATCAATCTCATCGATCAAGAAATGTGCACAATGCTGGTTTTTAGAATATAAATGGTGGGAAATGTATTGCAGTTTAGAAATAACCAATATTTTTTATGATATTTTGTGCATGCTCTAGAATGGATTGCAGTTTATTTTAATCATATTGTCTCTTGCAAGTAATTCTAAATTGCCTGCTGCTTGCCAATTCACTGCATTACAGGATGCCCCAAAAGAGGACAATCAAATTCAAAACCATCAATCAGGTTAAAAACGAGCTTTTGATTGTAATTTGCTGTCCACCCTTATTCACTGTTAAAATGTTTCCCATTTTTTTAGATTACTTCAATAATTCAGAAACCTGTTTCCTTTCTAGATGACATGGTTTGTAACATTTGTGGTAAAAAGTACAAGTATATGTCTAGCTTCTGGAAGCACAGAAGAGATCATGAAACAAAAGGTGAGCAGTCGGATACATCCTAATGCAATGCACTTTAATTGGATGCACTGTTTCAATGTAAGGTGGAGGCCTCTTAGCACCTTCCATGTCTGGTGACAGAAATAAATTATTCTTACTCGTACTTCGAAGGCTTCCTGTGACCATTGAAAGGGAGAAAGCGAGTGAGGTTTCTACAAAACACAAAGGGGAAATTGAAAGAATTGTGAAGAAATGTGTGAAGGGACTATCACGATCTCGGCTAAATTTGCATAATCTGTCACTCAGGCCTGATCGGCTACCTTACACAGGAAAAGCTGGAAATAGAAATAGAAAGTGCCGGTGACTGTTCAGTGAATCAGGCTGCGTTGTTGAAAACTGAGAATCTTTCAGGTTTATGGCCTCTCATCAGAACTGGAAGATGTTAAGTTCTTCTCTAAAGCTTTTATTATACAATCAATTTCATTCAAATAGAAAATGTTTTCACTCTCAGTAATGTGGGAAGCATTGCAATCTGTGTATGATTTGAAAGCCATTTGAACAGTTAAAAGCATTTACGGCAACTTGAATCTAGAGAGACCCTCTAACACAGGAGCCACTTCAAGAAACCACTTGCAGTTGGACCTCATCGCAGTCTCAAGCCAGACATGGATATGTGTTGAATACCATAACAGATCAGAGTGACTGCCTCAACTTTAAAGCAGATTTTGGCATTAAAGAGCTTGACAGAACTAGAGTTAATCAAGGGGCTCAAAGGAAATTTACACTGACTGGTGGTATACCTTGTTCAAAGGTATACCAAGAGGACAGTCAAATGAATGAATAATAAAAAGAAATCACGGCTCCAGTGTCACAAAAGTGTCCTTGGTTAATGTATCTTAAGCTGTTTTATCAATTGCCTTTCCTGCCAGACAATGTGAAGAGTGAGGTTATTTGCTCACAATTCTACAACATTTAATATTCACCGATCCTTGGATAGTGAAGCAGGCTATGCTGTACTATAGCGGCTGGATATTATTTAGGCTTGGGTTGACAAGCAGTGTGTTTTATGTATGCCATACAAGTGCTGGATACTTATCATGTCAGATAAGAGCAAGCCCTTGATCTTTACTGGCATCACCATCATGAAATCCACCACTAAACATATCTTAGGGTGGTGGGGTGTGAGTGGAAAGTCAGTAAACAGATCTTGAATTGGACTAGCCATGTCAAGGCTGAAGCTACGAGAACAGCGTGGAGAGTGGATACTATACAATGAGTGGATCATCTACTAAACTCTCATTTTTGTATTCTTTCATCCACAAATTGTCGTGGAATGCTCAGCACTTACATATGTGCTCAAGAATTTCAGTATTGTTGATTATACTAGTTCTCATTAAATTTCACTTCAGATAACAGAAATAAAATGCTCAGAGAAGTTTATCAATGTTTTAATAGTACTGGAGAAGTCAAATTTGAAGAACAGATTGATTATGATGAGCTTCTCTTACCCTGAGTCTATTCTGAGTACTGTGGCTAGTTCAACAATGCCAATGTTTGTGCAAGTTGCATTAATTGATGTTTTTAATCGAGGATACCATAGTGTCATTCCTCATATTTTCAATAAAGAAGATCTATTTATATCCACTTCCCTTTTTTCCATTGGGAACTCCTGTTTCGTATCCTACCTCTGCACTAGGGTTCTTGTGAGTGGTCGTACTCCTACCTCTGGGTCAGAAGGTCTGGGTTCAAGTTCCACCCCACCCAGACATGTGTGATAACATCTCTGATTTAAAAGAAAAGGCATGTCAGAGGTAGAAAATCAATTAACACAAAAACAACCCAATTAAGAAAACTGATGCTCACATATAAGATGCATCTTAGTTATTGCATTTAGTTTGCACAAAAAACCCAATTAACAATAGTGTACTGCAAGATTGTGACCTTCACTTTAACTTTAATTCTTATTAACTTCAGTTGAGAAAGCCAATTGAAAGGTTTATCAGTCCTGACAAGACCATTTCAAGAATAAGTATGTTTTCAAAAATTTCACAATTTATTGTTTGATAAAACTTACAAAAGAAAATAGAATGAAAACAGTGGATTCAGTCGGCTCACAGTGGAATATTAGCTTGCAATTTCTGGCTGATTAAGCACATGTCTCTTGTTCTCTTCTGGAAATTTTCCTTCTGTCTTCAGTCTTTTTACTGTGCTCCAAACCACTAAGAGTCACCGTTAATCAACCCTTGAGAGTCACTGCATGACCAAAGGTATCCTGAATTTGCCAATTGGATAGCACATGATCAATCTAAACAGTGTCTGACAGATGCCTGATTTGTTTCTGTAAAAGTGATGATTATCCCCTACCACCTCCTGATTTGTTCCTTGAAATGTCAATCACATATGCTATAACAGCTTACCCCTCGTAGCTTACCAACTTCAAAGATCTCTGCCCAGCTGCTGTGGCACTAATTGAATAATTGTCTTGAGAATATTCCAAAGCCTACCAATATTTTTTTTAGTTAAAAGAATCATTAGCGACTCCACAATAACTGTTGATACCTGAAACATGTTAAGTGAAGTTGCTTTACAAAAACCATACAGACTTCTTTTATTCTCCAAAAATAAGCAAGAATCATACCTTATTACCATACTAAAGTGACAGAGAACTATTGCAAGATACAGCAAAATGCATAAAGCTTAAAATCACCATAAAAAGCTAAAATAAGTTACAAAACTAAAGTATTTTAAAACATAACTCTGTCCTTGCGTAAAAGCTTTATACCTCAAAGCATTTTCCAATTTAGTTTGACTTGTTAGTTTGACTTTACACTAGCTTGAGCCACAAAAACAACCATAAAAACATCAAGTTTTTGATTTTATTTTTGACCTGAGCCACATTGGCTGTTCTTCCTTACAGAAAGCATTTTGCAACCAATCACGTTCGAGCAGAAAATAATTTAATTCCTCACTTAATGAAGTCAAAATTATTGAAAAATAATTCAATCCAACAGTACCTATACCAATTAAAGCATAAACTAAGCTATGTGGTTAGTTCACCCAAGCAAAACTGAAGTGTGAATGTCAATGGCTGTCATTTCAAAAGGACATTTTTACTTCAGAAATTCATGGACCCCATCTTGAATGTTACGTGAAATAATACAGCAGTGTACTGGCTTGGTTACCAAAACGGCACCTGCTAACACCACCATCCAGTCAACCTGGTTGACCAGCATAGTGCTCAATGCCCATCCCATGGAACTGATACTGCTGTACTATCTAAATGATGAACTATATAAGTTCCCAGGGTCTTGTTTATAAAAAAAAACCACATCACTCACCCCTTGAGCTTCTACTGTAAAGAAAGACAATGTTGGAGAACACCATCATTTCAAATTCATACTCTATCCTTGGAATGTATTTTGTGAGGTCACATCTTGGAATTCCATGCCAGACAGTATTGATGGTTGTAACCATTATACTGAATTAAGCTGAAAGCTCACCATGACCTCCTTGTATTGACCAGAGATGGATAGGAGAAGTAGCTGTCAAAAAGCTTTAAGGAGTGAGTGAGAGGAGAAATTTTCGCTGTTTGAGGAAACATTTGAAACTCTGGATAGTGTGCAAACCAGAAGGTTTCAGGCAGTTGAATTTGGAGTTGAAGTTGGAGCAGAGTAAGTCTGTGGGAATGGGATGTGCGTTGGATCAAATGCAAAGATCATTTAAAAGGAAGAGCTCTCTTCTTTGGGATGGTTTTTTGAATTTGGTTCATGAAACTACTGCATGGCCAATACTGGTGTTTTGGCTTATCTAGTTTGATTGACATTTTGCAACAAAGCCATAAAATTACCTTCTCAAATCCCTGTCTAACAGTAACTTTGGATGTTTTAGTATTATAGATTACATACCTAGCTTTTATTTTTAATTTATTAATGTTGAACTTGGGTAAATCTAATTTCAAGAAGTAGTATATACCACTGTGCACTACCGAAGGATGGCAAATCAGTTCCAGTTTTATAATTGCAAAAATGAAATTGGGTTTCAGAGTTGCTATATGTACAGAAAAATATATGAATTAAGATCAGGAGTAGGCAACCTGACCCTCTGACTCTGCTGCAATGAAGAATAAAATCATGACTGATAACTCCACATTCCTGTTTGCTCTGATAACCTTTCACCCCCTTGTTTTATCAAGAATTGTTTACCGCTCCCTTAAAAATGTTCAAAGACTCTGTTTCTACTACCTTTTGAGGAAGAGTTTCAAAGACTCATGGCCTTCTCTGCGAAACAAATTCTCATCTCTTTTTGAAATGGGTGACCTATTATTTTTAAACAGTGACTCCCTGGTTGTAGTTTTTCTACAACTACCCGTCAAGACCCTTCTGGATCTTGTGTGTTCCAACCAAGTCACTACTTAATGTTCTAAACTCCAGCAGATATAATTCTAGCCCATTCAACCTGTCCTCTTAAGACAATGTGCCCATTCCAGGTGGTGGTCGATTAAGCCTTCTCTGAACCGCTTCTAATGCATTTACATCTCTCCTTAAACAAAGTGACCTATGTTATACACAGTTCTCCAGATGTGCTTTCAGCAATACCTTGTATAACCAAAACATAACCTCTTTGATTTTGTATTCAATTATTTCAGTGATTCTTTGCTGTTCTTTATATTCTGTCCAATCCTATGACCTGCCACCCATCTTTATGCAATTAAATGCTTTCATCCTCTCATAATTGCCTTTATTAATTTTAAAATACTAGTCTTGGTTGTTAATTGAATCTATAGAAATTTGATTTTATCCGTACATGGGATGAAGGTATCACTAGGCCAGCATTTATTGTCAGCCAATTTGCTGAGCAAAGGGATTCATGTGTAGTCCAGACCAATTTAGGATTGCAGATTTCCTTCCCAAAAAAAAATTTAGTGAATGAGGCAGGCTTTTACAACAATTGACAGTGGTTACATGGTCACCACTGGACTATCTTTTTGTTCTTAACTGAACTCAAATTTCACCGTCTGCCATCGTGAATTTGATCCTGTGTTCTCAGAACATTTGCCTAAGGCATTGGATTATCAGTCCAGTGACATCACCACTATGCACCAGCTCTCCTTAAAGTGGTTCATATACCAATACCATAATCCACCAACACTGAAGGAGTACTGCACTTTCAGAAGACCCATTTATGGATGAGATGTTAAACTGAAGCTGTGAGGTGCAGCGGCTATTCTTGGTATCCTAGCCAATAGTTATCCCTCAATCAACACTAGAAAACCAGATTGTCTCGTCATTATTACAGTGCTGTTTGTGGCAGCTTGCTGTGTTCAAATAGTTGCCACGTTGCAGTAGTGACTACACTTTATTCTCTGTGAAGTGCATCAAGACATCTGCTTGTGAAAAGCATGAAATAAGGGCCAAGTCTTTTTTTGTGCTCCAGCACACTTCTGTTATTTTCACTGCATCAACCTCTCAACAATATTTATCATTAAAAGGGGAAAACAATTTAAAGAAAAGCTGTTTAGGAGAACAAGAAATTTTATATTCTCCAAGATGATTTTCTCATTGATGTACAACCAATAAATCAAGTTCTGAGAGCTGAACTGTTCATCAGTTTCCTAGAGATTAGAATCAATTCAAATTGATTGGATCATAGTTAGCCAGAAGTGTTGAATATATTTTCAACTATTCAAAAGGATATTTCTGAAGTTTAATTAAAGAATTATTTGTGATTTTACCATAAAGTAACACGATAGCAGAAATCTTCCTCTTGCCTGAGAATAACTGAAAGGCTGTCCAGTTCTGATTTGTACTTTGTACCCATTATTAGCATAGGTAAAATTCATTTGTTGGAACTGCCTGAATGCTGAATTTGATGAAATATTGCACCTAAATGTAATACAGACTGTGTTAATCCCATAGAACTAAAATGATTTAGGCAATTTTAATTGTTGAAATTTTTTTTCTGTAGGAGAATTTGTTGCTGCTTTCAGCTCTATCCCTAATGCTGCTAGTAAAAGTATCAGAGGTAAGGTTGCTGGAGATTTAGAGTCTTCTTGAAATAATTACTTTTAACTACCTTTGTAAGCCTATACATTTCGGTGTGACCTTTATCAATAAGAATGTGATGGGAAAGGCCCAATCATTTAAAGACGACTGAAATCACCAAAATGAAACATTTCCAAATTGTTCCTGTTGCAAATAATGATCAATAACTTCAAATATATTTCTGATACCATTTTTCATCAAATCACAGATTTCATGGGTGCCTCATTGAAACAATTAATGGTGTGGCTGAAGTTGTCAGGCATTTCATTTGCAAAGAACATCATTTTCGGTGAATAGTGAAAAACAATGTTTGGACACTGTTAAGAGAGGATTATGCATATGAAGCATTCTGCTTCTGCAGGCTATTATGTGGAACATTGTTCAGGCATAATAAATACATTAAAAATACTATCGGCAGTATCTTAATCTTAAATTGTGCAAACTCCTTCCTTGTGCATTTAAAAGTGCAGACCAAAGAAAGACCTCTAAATTTCTGTGTGCAGTGCAAAACAGATCTATTTGCTTGAATACCAAAATAATTGTATTTTATTCATTGATGGTGCAGGAACATTGCTGGCTAGGCCAGCATTTAATGCCTATCCCTGATTGCTCTTGACAAAGTGGTGGTAAGCTTCCTTCTTAAAAGGCTGCAGTCATTAGCGTGTAGGGCTGCCACCATGCTAGTGGGAGAGAGTTCCAGAATTTTGACTTCATTGCCGTTCTTTCACTGTCATTTAGGTTGAGATTTTCAACTCCTTCAAGTGGCATGAGCAGTGGCAAGAAATGCAAAGTCAAAATCACAATGCTGAGAAAATAAATTCTGGGATTTTCCTCTCAATGTTTAAATGATGAGTTCAGAATCTCACTAATGAGTAGCGACTACATTATTTCAATACATTTGATTCTCATTATTAGTTGAATTTCCCCATTTCTATGCAGCTTCCAATTCTGTACGAATTCCTGACATGGATGTCAGAGCAGTAATTTGGCAGCAACAGCTCACTGCTGGCTTTTCTGGGTTTTCGTCCAACAGTTGTCTTCACCAGAATGTTCCTGCATACTTAATGGATATCATCCACCTCCACCCTCCGCCACACAAGTTGGCAGTGGCAGGTGACCAACCTCACCACATCACTGTGCCTGCCCTGTTAGCACTCACTGATTTAGACCTATCTTAACAAGTTGTGGGTCGATGAGACTCTATGTCACAGAGAGCTGTGGGGAAAAGTCCTTGTGTCTGTTATGAGATAGATTCTTGATCTGTAGGGGAATTAAGGGTTACGGGGAAAAGATAGGAAAATGGATGTGAAGAATATTAGATCAGCAACTATTCTATTCAATGGCAGAGCAGGCTCGAGGGGCTGAATAGCCTACTCCTCTTCTTGTTTCTTATGGTCTTGTGCTCTTATACCTGGATGTTCATTACATCTCGAATATGGCACACCTCAGTACCCACTTACAGTATTATTCTATGCTTCACTGCTGCACTTTGAGTCACACCCACACCTGTCATTGCAAGGCTACTACAAGAACACTGTGCACACAGGGACAGAGCCAGCTCATGGATTGGACCGAGCTATGTCTCAGCATTACTTGCACGCTCTCTTAATGCTCTCTCACTAGTGCCTACCTGGATATTCACTGCATCCCCAGTTTCCCTTGTCTTTTTGTACTTTGTCTCCTCAGCCTGACCTTAAAGTCTCACAGTACTTCTGTTTCACATTGCTGTTTAGCATAGGCACAAAGCCAGGCAGCTTACCATGGTTATTAGCACTGGTCAGTCAAGGGGGTAGACATGTTGCTGTATGACAGATTGCTGTCAGTCTCATACGTACAGCATGTGCCAGCAGCCTAAATGGCAAACACATTGCTTGTGCATCAACCAAATGGTCATGTTTCGAAGTCGAAGTGGAGTAGTGTTCAGTCAAGTCAAGGGGGCTGCCATCAATCTGGATGTATGCGATGGTTCCGCACTGAATGATGATAAGATGCTTGGCTGCAGTGAGCATTGGGGAAAGAATAGCAGTGATGTAGAGGGTTGTAAGAGGGACTAAGGGTGATCTAAGGACAGGTGACCTGTATGGCCCAGTGCTTTAATCAGTGACTGGGGTAGGAATGTTCAGGTATAAGTGCAAGGAAGCGTCAGCTGTGACACTTCTGTAAGAGAAGCATTGGTTTGTGACAACTGTGCCGCTACATTAACAGTGAGGGCAACTCTGAACTGTTAGCACTTGACTGGGTATATGGCTATGGTTCGAACAAACGCTTTGTGAAACTCAATGAAACTGACACATAGCTGATTTCTGGTAAGATGCAGTCTTTAGTATCTTTCAGAATCAGGTATATGTGTTAATGAAATAGTAACAAGGATCGGGTATCAAGTAGAATCAAGGCACGGTGGCTCAGTGGTTAGCACTACTGCCTCACAGCGCCAGGGAACCAGGTTTGATTCCACCCTCGGGTGACTGTCTGTTGGGAGTTTGCACATTCTCCCCGTGTCTGCGTGGGTTTCCACCTGGTGTTCCGGTTTCCTCCCACAGTCCAAGGATGTGCCGGTTAGGGGGTTTGGCCATGCTAAATTGTCCATAGTGTAGTGTTCAGAGACATGTAGATTACTTGTGTTAGCTATGGGAAATGCAGGGTTACAGGGTGGGGGAATGGATCTGTGTGGAGTCCTCTTCAGAGGGTTGGTGTGGACTTGTTGGGTCAAAGGGCCTGTTCCCACACTAGGGATTCTTTGATTCTATGTTATAATCTAAAGCATCAAATAATCACAGATTGTGATTCACTGATTTATTAATTGCCTTTAAAATATTATTGAGAAAAAGTTGGAATGTAAACAAAATCATGCAACCTTTGCAAATTAACTGTTTATATTTACTTATTAACAGGAATGCTGTTTTCTTCTGCTCCCAGTATAAAAGCTTTGATTTCACAGAAACTCTTTGGTAAGTTGCTAAGAGTTCTATTTTACCATATGTTAATCTTCACTAGAATACACAAAGAGGAAGTGTTGAATTTCTTTTTATAGTAATTTGACCTTATACAGTGAAATTTCCTGGTACTAATACTTATCGATTTATTTTTTCTCATCTATTTAAATCTCATTTTTCCATGTATTTGTTTTAGATAGATCTGGCAAATTATGTCCTCAAAGTGAAATTAATCCAGAGTCAGAATTCAAGCCAATTATGATGAAGATGGAAAAAGCTAGTCCTGCCAGTAAGCATCATAAACTGAAACTACATTTCAGTAAACCATAGCTTGGACACTCTGGATTTTTTTCCACAATCTGCATCAAATGTGTACTATCTTTATATCAGTTCAGGAAGGCAACAATTTCTTAAAACTCTTCTCTCTACACAATTCACCACATGATCCTTCAACACCGTGCCTCCGTTGTCTGACTTAGCTCAGTACATGTACCTTCAGCCTTTCCTATTAAACTGTAGCAGGTAGTAGTATATTTTCCACCCCAGCACCATTATCTCTAGAAGCATACATTTGTCATTAATATCTACCACCCCACCAACCAACCAACTTCTTCAACTGCAAGCTCCCCCCTCATGAAAACCAAAGGTCGTTTTCCTCATATCCAGCTAGCCTGGACACCTTCATTTTTCTCCCACTAAACATTTGAAATTTCAAGAAAGTTATCAGCTTCACCAATTCCATCACCCTTCTCCAGCCTTCAGGGTGAACCAAATCATTTGTAGTGTCAGGATATTAACTGACCTTGAGCAGAACTTATGGGCCCATACTTTTATCTGTAGTCTAATTCTCCTCCATCCTGCCTCAGCTTGCTGAAATTCTCATCCATACAATTATCATTAAAAAAAATGTAATACTGTTCTAGCTAATCTCCTAACTTCCATTCAGCTCATTCAATTGTTGCTGTCACTTGTCCCACATCCAGTGTTGTTCATCAAAAGCTTTCAATCATTGCTGACCTTCATTTGCTCTTCGACATCTCAGTGTAAAGTTTTGATCTTTATGTTGGAACCTCATTGATTTCATCGCCTCAATATCTTTAACCTCCCCAAGTTCTACAACCACACATTCCAAGTCCCCAGTTCTGTACACTCTGGCTCTAGGATATTATTCCCCCTCACTTCCTTTGCCTCACCATGGGAAGTAAACCTTTGATTGTCTAGATCCCAAGCTTTGAAACTCTATCTCCTACCTCCTCCAAGATTACCCTTAAAACCAAGTTTAATCACCTTGTCAAATATCTCCTGGCACAGGATCTATTTTTCACCGATTTCAAATCTGATGTTTCTAAGAAATTTTATCATGTCAAATGGTAATGAGAAAATGCAAGATATTGTCATTGCTCCAAACAGTAATTTAGTAGTTTTTATAATGTGGACATTTTTTCAATACAATGTGTTTTAAATTTTCATTTAAGTTGCTTTTTGAAATTAGTCTTTAATCAGAGCGCAACACAAATTCTGGAAACACTGATCACATGGCATCTGTGCAAGAGAACAGATAAGATTAGCATTTCAGGAGACAACACTGGTGAACAATAAGCAGACCTATGCTGGAGGAAAAATACATCACAGCAAAAATGAGCAAGCTGTAAAGAGCAAGTGCCACTTCTGTGAAAGGTTTACATCTGAAATGTTAATTGTTTGTTTTCACTACAGATGCTGCATCTCCTGATTATTTCCATGTTTCTTGTTTTCTTCCAGACTATCATCTGCAACAGTTTGATTTCTGCTCATACAGAAATCAGTCTCTTTCAGATTCATGGCAAGAGAAATTTCACAACAAAGGATGCAGTTCTGTGGCCATCAGGCCATCAGTTCTAAAGACAGAGGAAGCTGTTCCCTATTGTAAGTGCTATAAAATAAATAGTTTCTCTTCTGTAGCCATTGGCATTGATTTTAAAAAGATGACATTAAAAATCTATTTTGGATTACTTGAGTAGCATAAATCCTGATGCAATATAAGGTAATTGGCGAATCATCTTGTGCTGTACTTTTGGCTTTGAAACTTAAGCTACAGCTTTTTGACTCATCTCAGTTACTTTCGGCACTTGTCCCAAAACCTTTAAAATTGCAACAGACCTATAAGTTAACAGTAACTTACCACTTGTGCCTAGTGATCCCAGGTCTCAATTACTTTTCCACTGCACATTTCTGAGGCTGCAGCTTCCCTCAGTGACAATGACCACAGTTGTATCCATCTTTCTTCCACAAATCAAAAAGCACAATGGCCTTTTTTACCCCCTGGTTGCACTTTCTTTTGCATGAGTACTCAACTAAATCTTTCAAAGGGAACTGAATGGATTGACTAGCACAAGGCAACATCTTTTTATAAAAAGTACAAATGTGTAATTTTGAGTAGTGCATAGTACCCAACAGTGTTTGATTAAGGCCAGTTCTGTGCTTATTAAATTTAGTCTGAGTATCTTTGCAATTGGATCATTCTTCAGCAAACACAGAATTAGTGCATTTCATTCCAGAAAAATACTCCTTAGTGTATAAGCTCAGAATGATAGCCTTGCAAATCTTGTAGCTTCTTGGAAAAAAAACGCATAAAGCTTTGTGCCATAAATCAATGTGACTGTTTACACCCCCAACAATACCTAATAGGATTCTTAATATGAGCTTGAAGAGGCTAGTTTAAACCAGACTCAGCTAGCTGCACATTTACAGTTGCCAAAGTCAGCGTTGGCTGCGATAATGAAAATTCATGATCCAGAATAAATTTGATGTTTTGCAATTTGATGTTTTGCCTTGCACTTTTCTAAAACTGTTGTAAAACTATTCTCTGTGGAGAAATTATGCAAGATGTCATTCGATTGAGGAAAAATGCCATCTGTTATTATAAAGTACCTGTAGTAGCCATCCAATAAATGAGAAAAAGTCTAATTATTTTTTCCCCAAGGACAGTAGTGATTGAAATAAGTGAAAATATTTATCACATTGCTGCTTGTGGGAGCTTACTATGCACAAATTGACTGCCACATTTTCTACAATGCAACAATAACCAGATTTCAAAGGCAGTTATAGGCTGTAAAGTACTTTGGGACATCCTGATGTCACCAAAGATGCTATAGACATGCCAGTTTTCTTTCTACCAGAATAGAATTGCTTATTTTTAAAGATAGTCCTTTGGAAGGAAGTAAAAAGGTAGCAACTTACTACTTAGAGGACCCGCTGCACAGATGAAAATGAATGATTATTTTAAAAACCGAAAGAACTGCGGATGGTGTAAATCAGAAGCAAGAACAGAAATTGCTGGAAAAGCTCAGCCGGTCTGGCAGCATCTGTCGAGAGAAATCAGAGTTAACTTTTCGGGTTGAGTGACCCTTCCTCAGTTCATCTAGCAATTTCCGTTTTTGTTTGTGAATGATTATTTGCTATGTGGCTAGAATATGATGAAGGACTTTTCCTAATTTCTCCTGAACATTCTTCATTCTGCTGGAAATTTCATTGTAGAATTAGACAAGAATATGCTCAAATAATAAACTCACTTATAAACTCATTATTAATAAACTCATCAAGCTCAGCGTGAAATTAGGGAAGTCTTGCTAAAGCAGAGTAAGCATTAGTCTGACCACAGCTGGAATACTGTGAACAGTTTTGGTCCCTTTATCTAAGGAATAAAGTCAGAAGTCACATGATACCAGGATATAGTCCAACAGGTTTATTTGAAATCGCACAAACTTTTGGAGCACAGCCCCTTTGTCAGGTACAGTCAGAGAGCAAAGCACACAGACCCAGAGTTTACAGGCAGAGAGATCAAAGGCAGAGAGATCAAAAGATCATACAAATATTGTGAGTGGAGTGTCAGATGATAAGCCTCTGCAGGTGACCAACAGTGCTGATGGCGAGTAAAGTGTAAACAGCTGAATAACCAGCAAAGCGAAGACCTATAATCCGAATAAGTGCGGCAGAGAGATAATTACAAAAATTAAAAATAAGGTGGTGCTGGAGACAAACTATATGAGTGGAATCGCATGCTAAATTCAAAACTGTATAAACTAATTAAGATAGAGAGATCATAACAACTTATCAAGGTGATGCTGTCAAAACAGGACAGTAAGGAAGATTTTACAGATACAGAATAGTGTGGTGAGGTCACCTGTAGTGCAACATGAACCAAGTTCATAGTTGAGGCTGTCTTCATGGGTGTGGAACTTGGCTACCAGTTTCTGCTGGGCGATTCTGCGTTGTTGTTTATCTTGTAGGCCGCCTTGTAGGAGGCATACCCGAAGTTCAGAGGCTAAATGTCCTTGAAAGCTGAAGTGTTCCCCAACTGGGAGGGAACATTCCTGTCTGGCAATTGTTGCACAGTGTTCATTCATCTGTTGTTGTAGCATCTGCATGGTCTCGCCAATATACCATGGCTCGGGGCATCCTTGCCTGCAGCATATGAGACAGACAACATTGGCCGAGTCACATGAGTATCTGCCATGTATGTGGTGGGTGTGTTCCCACATGTAATGGTAGTGTCAGAGTCGATGATCTGACATGGCCTGCAGCGGTTGCCATGGCAGGGGTGTGTGGTCGATGTTATCCTGAAGGCTGGGTAGTTCGCTGTGAACAATGGCCTGTTTAAGATTTGGTGGTTGTTTGAAGGCAAGAAGTGGAGGCATAGGGAAGATCTTGACAAGATGCTCATCGTCATTGATGACATTTTGAAGGCTGCGAAGAACTCTGGAAGGCCGCTGTTCCAGGGTCGACATGTATGCACAAGACGTCAGGAGATGCGTTAACACCAGATTCATCAGCCACGCTCATAAGGAAGCGCAGAACATCACCCAAGCAGAATGCAATGCCACCCATGCTCTCAAGACCAATCACAACATTGTCATCAAACTAGCAGACAAAGGCGGATCCATCGTCATACAGAATAGAACGGATTACTGCAAGGAAGTATACAGACAACTGAACAACCAGGAACACTACAGACAACTATCTGCCGATCTGACCAAAGAACACACCCATCAACTCAACAGACTGATCAAGACTTTTGATCCAGACCTTCAGAATATCCTGTGTGCTCTTGTCCTGCATACTTCTCATGTAGGGGTCTTCCACACTCTTCCAAAGATACACAAAGCCAGCATACCCGGACATCCCATCGTATCAGGCAGTGGGGCCCTGTGTGAGAATCTCTCTGGCTATGTCAAGGGTATCTTGAAACCCATTGTACAAGGAAGCTCCCCCACCTTCTCTCGCGACACTACAGATTTCTAACAGAAACTCCGCACCCATGGAGCAGTCAAACCAGGAACATTCCTCGTCACAATAGATGTTTCGGCACTCTACACCATCATCCCCCATGACGACGGCATGGCTGCAACAGCCTCAGTACTCAATACCAACAACTGCCAATTTCCAGACACCATCCTACAACTCATCTGCTTCGTCCTTGAGCTCGTCTTCACCTTTGACAACCAGTTCTTCATCCAGACGCAAAGAACAGCCATCGGGCCCAAATATGCACCCCAGTATGTGAACATTTTCACACATAATTTCGAGTAGGACTTGGTTGCGCAGGGCCTCCGACCAATGTTAAACACCAGATGCATTGACGACATTTGCTTCCTTTGGACTCATGGCGAGGAATCACTGAAACAACTATATAGCGATATCAACACATTTCATCCCACCATCTGACTTATCATAGACTACATTCTGGGACACACACATCTCCATCAAGGAAGGACACCTCAGTACCTCACTCTACCACAAGCCCGCGGATAACCTCACGATGCTGCTCTCCTCTAGCTTCCACCCTAAACATATTAAAAAAGCCATCTCCTACGGACAAGCCTTGTGCATACAAAGGATTTGCTCAGATGAGGAGGAACACGACGGACACCTGAAGGTTTTGAAGGACGCCCTCATAAGAACGGGATACAATGCTCATCTCATAGATCACCAGTTCTGATGTGCCACAGCGAAAAACCGCAACGACCTCCTCAGAAGATGGAGACAGGATATGACTGATAGAATACCCTTTATCGTCCAGTCCTTCCCTGGAGCGGAGAAACTACACCATGTTCTTCACTGTCTTCAACATATCATAGATGACGTTGATCACCTTGCCAAGATCTTCCCTACGCCTCCACTTCTCGCCTTCAACCGCCAAACCTTTAAACAGACCATTGTTCACAGTAAACTACCCAGCCTTCAGGACAACATTGACCACAACACCCCACAACCCTGTGGTGCAACCTGTCAGATCATTGACATGGATGCTACCATCACATGTGGGATCACCACCCACCACATACATGGCAGATACTCCTGTGACTCCGCCAATGTTGTCTGTCTCATACACTGCAGGCAAGGATGCCCTGAGTCATAGCATATTGGCAAGATCATGCAGACGTTACAACAAACGATGAATGGACACCGTGCACCAATCACCAGGCTGGAATGTTCCCTCCCAGTTGGAGAAACACTTTAGCGGTCAAGGACATTCAGCCTCCAATCTTTGGGTAAGCATCCTCCAAGGCAGACTACAAGATACATAACAACGCAGAATCGCCGAGCAGAAACTGGTAGCCAAGTTCCGTACCAATGAGGACGGCCTCACCCGTGATCTTGGTTCAAGTTGCACTACAGGTCACCACACCACACTGTTCTGTATCTGTAAAATCTTCCTTACTGTCCTGTTTTGACAGCATTACCTTGATAAATTGTTATGGTCTCTCAATCTTAATTAGTTTGTACAGTTTTGAATTCAGCATGCGATTCCAATCATTCATCTTATTTTTAATTGTTTCTAATTATCCCTTTGCCTCACTTATTCGGATTATAGGTCATCCCTTCACTGGTTATTTAGCTGTTTACACTTTCATCACCGTCTAACACTCCTGGTCACTTATCATCTGACAGTCCACTCACACCATTTGTATGATCTTTTGATTTCTCCATCTATAAACTCTGGCTGTACAGCCCCACAGTCCAAAAATGTGTAGATTAGGTAGCTAATTTGGCCAATGTCCAGGGATATCTAGGTTAGATGGATTAGCCATGGGAAATGCAGGGTTAAGGGGGTAGGGTGTTGGGGGCGAATCTGGTTGGGATGCTCTTTGCAATGCCGGTGTGGACTTGTTGGGCCAAATGGCCTGTTCTGCACTGTAGGGATCCAATGATTCAGGTTGGTTTCATACTTACTGGAGTTTAAAAGAATAACAAGAGGAATTTATTGAAACACAAGATTCTTAGGAGGCTTAACAGGACTGATGCAGAGAGATTGTCTCCCCTTTGTGGGAGAGTCTAGGAACAGAGGGATTTAATCTTAGAATAAGGGGTCACACATTTAAGACATGGGTAAGAGGGATTTTCTTATCTGAGAGGGTAGTGAATCTCTAATTCTTTACAGAAAAGGGTTGTTGCATTGTGAAATAAGGGAATCAAGAGGGAAAATGCAGAAAAGTGAAGCTGAGGTTTATCAGATCAGCCATATTCTCATTGAATGGCAGAGCAGAAATGATAGGCTGAATGGCCTAATTCTGCTCCTGCATCTTATGTTCTTAATTTTCCCAGCCCTTCAGCGGCATAGGCAATGGCAAGAAATGTAGGAATCCAGCAAGAGTGAGAAAATGTGAATTTTGATATTGAGAAAAAAATGTTCCAAATTTTCCTGTAAGGTTTCTATGATGAGTTCTGCATCTCTTTAACAAGCAGCGACTACCTTATTTCCATGCATTTATATGTCATTATTAGCTAAATTAACCTAACCTATGTGAATCTCATTGTTCTCCTAATCACCGCTGAGTAAACAGGTTGTGCCAGCTGCCAACTTGTAAGTCAGAGTGGTTATATGGCAGACTCAACTCCTCACTTGTTTCTCCAGGCCTCCATCTTAAGGCCTGTTTGTCTTCATTGTGTGCTCCATGGACAACATCCACTTCCATCCTTTGTCTACGGAATTCTGCATTGGCAGATCACCAACTTCACCACATCATCTTGCCTGATTCCTGTCTAATTCATAATCCACTTCCACATGTCATTGCACTTTGAAGCTCGCGCACACCTTACATTGCAATGCTGTCAGTTTGCTCTCTGCATAGGGATGCACAGCCATTTCATGCATCTGCACAGGATGAATTTTATGGCTCTTAGCTTGCTTTCTTAGCACTCCCTCACTTTGCAATTAGAGGCTCACAGCTTGCCTTGCATTTTAGATTCTTGGTGCTTCACTGAGAACTTACAGGGTCACAGCTTCTCTGGCTTGTATTGCCTTTTAGTGCAGACAGAAAGGCAGTTCGCTTGTCCTGATTGGCATCACTGAACAGTTAAGAATGTGGACATATTGCTGTATGGCACCATGGTATGTCAGTGTTATAACTGCTGCATGTCCCAGCTGCTGACGCAATAAACACACTGCACGTGCTTCACCTATGTCTGAAAATCAAGGGGTGCCAGTCCTTATTAGAGTCAAGGGTAACTACAGCCAGTCAGGGGTGCTGCCACACTTAGTTGAGCGGCTTGTCCGATCTCAGTGTGGGAGTTTGGCCGCAGTCAGTTAGGTGCTTGGTCCGACCAGGGTGTGGGGGAACAGTGTCTTTTCAGTCTGGGCATTGGGTCACATTCTGTTCTGTAGGGCAAGATCCAACCATTTTTGGGGGTGGGGTTGTTAATAGTTGGAGGGCTTATCAGGGCCAGTCTCTTTTGTCCTCAGAAAGGGATTGGAGTTCATTAGACTGGGTAACTGAAGGAATGATTACTGTGAAAGGGTGCAACTCAAGATGGAAGGATGGGGCTTCAAACTGTGTAGCAAGAATGGGGTAGGTGTTACTGTGGAAGAGGAGGTTCATACAAGTCACAGTCACAAGAGCATTGTGATAGACATAACCATGAGCTCAGGGGTAAATGAGCAACAGTCAGAGTAATATAAAGGGGTTGAACATAAAAATGGAGGGGGAGGCTGATAGGTAATCAGGGATAAGGGAAAGTCACACAAGGGAAAACGAAGGATGGGACAGGATCATTGTTAGTCTCAGATAGAGCCTGCAAGTTACTCACGAGGACATGTAGCTGAAACCTTACAATCTTCACACCAACCTCAACTAGGCCGTAATGACACAAGCTGGTGCCAACACTTGCGGGTGCGCTCAGAGGATTCCTTGTGGTGTTGCTCTTTATAAGACAACAACATCGAATAAGACATCAATTATGCAGAAGCGGAAGAGGTGTTGCGGTATCCCCAGTGAGTGAGTAGGAAGTGCATAGGACAGGAAGGGAGGATGAGTGAGAGTTCTGAGTGGATATGCTGCATGTTGTGGTGAGAGTTATTGTCTGTTAGCCTTGGTGATATTACTGTGCAGTGGCAGAATTAGAGTGAGTGTGAGGTAGTGGAAAGAAGGTGATGGCATTTACTTCTGTGGAGCGCAGAAGATCAATGACCTTCCTGTACTGCTGGATGTTCTGTTTAGTCCCGGAAATGGCACTGACCTGAGCTGCTATCTGGGTCTAGCTGGCTGAGTCAGGTAGTGTGGTCTCCTTTGCCAGTCTACAGGAAAGAGGATGGCGTTCTTCTCCACACCTCCTGTTGACTGGCTCCTCCAGGTTCCTGTCAGTGAAGCAGGTGCCAGCTTCTCTTTATGGGACTTGTCCTATGTGATAAAGGTGGAATAACACAGTGTGGCAGCCAGTTCCCGACTTGCATTGTGCAAAATGGTGTGCAGCTGGGGTTTCACTATGACCCCAGCGACATGAAAGGTGCACGGTTCTGGCAGTGATGAGCACACCCACCTCTACTGCTGAATGAATGAATACTTTGGGTGCTGTAGAACCAGGATTCGTCATGAATGTGGCAAACAGCAGAAGATTAATAGGAGAAAAGTCTCCATGAACCATGATAGAACAGGTGCTGTGAAACACCCTGAAAATAACATTTCCCCTAATTATGGGAAACTTTAACCTTATGCCTTAAAAACTTAAACAAATCAAACATTAATTTTCCATATGGCTCCCTAACAATTGCAAAGAGATGTCTTATCATTACTCAGAAGCTAGATCTACCTGAAAAATTAAATGTAATAAATAATATCCTGAACAGAATAGGATATCCATCAGTTGTTTCCATTGCTTTATGATCTCGATAATTTTCTTACCTCTGTATCACCCTGACTATCTCTATTACTTCATGGGCCTTGCCTCCTGCAATCTTCCTATTTTGAAAGAACTGCATGAGGAAAGTCCAGTTGGGCAAGGGAGCAAGGTAAATGATTGAGACTGATTCTGATGAGAAGGGGAGAGGGACCCTGTTGGAAGTTGTCCAAAGAAGAAGGCACTATCTGTGCACATGTATAGAGGGAAAGATTATTGAGGGAATGTGGAATATGGTAAGGGAAATTGAAGGCAAGAGCCAGCTTGGAGAATGGAATAAGTGAAAAAGCTATTGGTGAAGGATGCATATCTCCTGTTCCATTGAAAGCCAGATAGAAGATTCCAAAGGAACTTAGTGGTCCCAGATCAAAGAAAACCCCAATCTCTGATTCACTGTGAACTTTGCCTCATGAGATAGTCTAACTGCTACATGGAAGATAAACGTTGTGTAGATTGGTAATCAAAGTTTTTGCAAATCCAGGTATAATGGGAAAAGTAAGCCCTCCTTCAAATTTCAACATCACCTCAAGAGATCACCTCCCTGCATTCCAATGCAGACCACTTCCAGGTAATAATGACTGCAGTTCTTACATTGCTCTATTCTGTTTGTTTTGTATGTAGTGTACACAGTCAAAGCCTTCTGAAAGTTTATTTGGGTTACAAACTGACATGTAACATCTTAATATACTGTGAGAGCCATTATTCTCTCTATACACATATTCAAGTAAGTAAAATATTCCATTAATGTATTCTTCAGATTACTTTTTCTCGTGTGATATTTGTGGGAAGAAATACAAATACAAGTCCAGTTTCTTGAAGCACATCGAAGACCATAAAAACTTTGGTTAGTACGACACACTTGAAGTTCTGAAGAGGGCAGATAATGTCGGCAAGTTTAAGGGAGAATTGGTACCTTATGGAGAAAGACTAATTGAGTGGTGGAAGAGATACAATATAATGCAGTATTATTGATCTTCTGGCCACTGGGATCACTGAGACCTTATTAATAATTTTCTGTTGCTTGTGAATTTTTTTTGGTATTTGAAGGCACAGTTAGAGTGTTTTATCCCACTCCTAGCTCAGCTGCTCATCAATCCCTCTGCAAATGTTATTTAAAAACTGCTGCTCATACCCAGTCTCTTTTACCCATCTCCTCTGTGTTTGCTGACCTGCAAGGGTTCCCAGTTAAGCAATGCCTAGATTTTAAAATCCTTACTTGATGTTGTCCTTTCCTATATCTGTGTTCTCTTCCAGTCTTAACTCACTGGCCCCTCCTCCTGTTACTCCCACCCAAGATCTCTGTGCTCCACCAATTGTGGCATCGAGCAGTATTGACACTGTAGCTTCTGCTCCATAGGCACTAAACTCTGCACTCTCCTCCTAAGTCTCTCCATTAATAGCTGTTTGAAACCTACCTTTTTAACGAAGCTTTTTGTCCCAAGATCTCCTTGCATGTTTCTTGCCCAATTTTGTTTGGTAAGGTAAAGCACCTTGAAATGTTTTATTATTGTTAAAGGTATTGAATAAATAGAAGCTGCTGTTCCTTTTTCTATAAAAGAAGCTTACTAGCTTTGGATGTTTATGT